ATTTGAAAGGCAGAGTTACAGAAAGGTAGAGACAGAGAGAAAGGTCTTCCATCCGCTGATTCACTCCCCAGGTGGCCGCAATAGCCAGAGCTGAGCTGATCTGAAGCCGGGAGGCAAGGAGCTTCTTCCGGGTCTCCCACATGGGTACAGGGCCATCTTCTACTGCTTTCCCAGGCCATAGCAGAGAACTGGATCAGAAGAGGAACAGCCGGGACTCGAACCGTCACCCATATGGGATGCCGGCACTTCAGGCCAGGGTGTTAACCTGCTGTGCCACAATGCTAGCCCCACCACTATTTTATTGTAATACAGGCATACCAATGATCCTCAAGAAGTTCATGGAAAATATGTATTAATGGATGTCAAAAATCTGAGACAAAATAAATATCTCTTAATTCCATTTTCAATGAATATATTGAAGTACACTTTTCAATGAATATATCAAAGTACCCTGGAATTATGTCTTAATTGTGTGGTTTACTTGTTACCATCTCTATCTCAGAAAAGCTAAGTACTACTTTGCTGCATTATTTGGAATTTCCCTTTTTAAAAGATATTTCCTAGAGAACCAAGATGGCAGAACAGGGAGGGAGTTTACTGCTCTAGTGTAGGGAAAGCTAGTTAAAAAAAAAAAAATGGGGAGAGGAGAGTGCAATCTCAGGGAAGATTTAGGGAGAGAATGGCAGAGGAAACTCCATGCAAATCAGAGAGACACTGTAGATCTACATGGAGAGTGCAGACACAGGCAACTCAGGACCCCAGAAGCCAAGAGCCTCAGTACCAGCTTTGGAGAGTGAGATGAGAACAGACTGCAGCAGCACAAGCCACTGGAGATAAAGCTGCAGGAAGAGCCTGGCGGGAGTCCGGCTTGGAACCCTGTGGGGCACAGGGTACCTGTCAACCTAGAGGAAAAACAGAGGGGGCACGTTTTTCTCTCCCTGACCACCTGGCACTGGCATCTTGTAACTAGCTGAGAGAAGGTGGGTAACATTTTGGACATATCTAACAGCTGTGCCAGCTCATGGCTGTGCACCCAACAACCAGCCAAGAGGAGATGCCTGCGTCTGGCTGGGAGAACTGAGGAGGAGCTGGGTGCTTGTGACTGTGGGAGGCTTGTGTGCCAGGACTGTGAAAATACTATGGCTGTGAGGCAGGGTATAGGGTGTGGATGGGACTTTGGGCAGTCCCTGTGGGTGGCTCCAAACACTCAGGGCTCCCTGATGCCTCCATGAGGGTCATTGCAGCAGGACCTGTGCTCAGATTGAGAACTGCACAGATCCCCTGTGTGGTTCTTGTGGCAGCACGAATGAGTATTATACCCACTGGGGATAGCAACCAGGCATTGGTCTCCTTGGGGGACAGGAGGTGACCATGAGACTATACCAACAGAGGAGATTAAACCTCCCTTCTAATGAAAAGAGGGTGGGGGGAGACTTACCACACCCAATTTGGGTGTCACCTTGGACACTCCCCTCATCCTGGAGCACTGAACAGATCTCCCTGGCCAACCCACCACATGCCTCTAGGTATTTACTGAAAGAGTATATATTACACTAAGCCACAGAGGCACAGTCCAAAGAAAAAAGCCATCACAGGGAAATAAAACAGAAACCAACAAGTATCGCCACAAATGCCTAAAAATAAATGCAACAATTCAAGAAACAAGAATAAGGAAGACAACATGACACTCCCAAAAGAATACAGCACTTCAATACTAGAATGTGAAAGTAAAGAAACTGAAGAAATGCCAGAAACAGAATTCAAAAAATTGATTGTAAGATTAACTTAGAAGTAATCGGAAGCAAATCCACAAATTAAAGAAATTCACACATAACATGAATGAACATGTTTCCCATGAAATTGAGATTTTAAAGAGAAACTGAATTGAAATATTAGAGGGGCCGGTGCCATGGCTCACTTGGTTAATTCTCTGCTTCCGGCGCCGGCATTCTATATGGGCGCTGGTTCCAGTCCCGGCTGCTCCTCTTGCAGTCCAGCTCTCTGCTGTGGCCCGGGAAGGCAGTGGAGGATGGCCCAAGTGCTTGGGCCCCTGCACCCGCGTGGGAGACCAGGAGGAAGCACCTGGCCCCTGGCTTCAGATCAGCGCAGTTCTGGCCATAGCGGTCATTTAAGGGGTGAACCAACAGAAGGAAGACCTTTCTCTCTCTCTCACATGACTATAACTCTACCTGTCAAATTAAAAAAAAATATATATTAGAAGTGAAGAATTCAATAGATCAAATAAAAATGCAGTGGAAAGCGTTAACAACAGAGTTAGTGAGGCAGAAGAAAGAATATCCAAGTTAGAAGACAAATCTCTGGAAATTTTGCAATTGGACCAAAAAACAGAAGAAATTAGAAAACTAAAAAGCAATGTTAGAGATTTATGGGATATTATCAAATGACCCAAACTATAGGGATCCTAGGAATTCCTGAAGGCATGGAAAGCTGGAATGAATTATAAGGTCCTTTAACTAAAATAATTACAGAAAAATTCCCTAATTTAGAAAAAGAAAGGGACGTTCAAGTACAGGAAGCACATAGAACTCCTAATGGACATGACCACAACACATTGTAGTCAAACTCACCTCAGTAAAACATACAGAAAAGATTCTAAAATGTGGCTGAGATAAGCTCTAGATTACTTGCAGAGAATCTCCAATTAGACTCACAATGGACTTTTCATCAGAAACCCTACAGGCTAGGAGAGAATGATGGGGTATATTCCAAGTCTTAAGAGAAAAAACTGTCAGCCCAGAATACTATACCCTGCAATGCTCTCATTTATGAATGAAGGTGAAATAAAGACCTTCCACAGCAAACAGAAATTGAAAGAATTTGTCACCATCTGTCCAGCCATACAAGAGATGCTTAAGGATGTGCGCACACAGAAACACAACATGGTCATCACTTATGAAAAACAGTGAAGGCAGAAAAGCTCCCCGTGAAAGTACAAGGGAAATCCAAGTAAACAATAGGAATATTTATGGAAAAACAGCAGGGCCAAGTCCTTACTTATCAGTAAGTAAAATTCACCTTGAATGTAAACAGTCTCAATTCTCCAGTTAAAAGATACAGACTAGCTGAATGGATTAAAAAGCAAAACCCATCTGTTTTGTTGCTTACAAGAAAGACATTTCATCAATAAAGAAACATACAAACTAAAAGTGAAAGGAAGGCATTATGCAATGATTAAGGGATCAATTCAAGAGGAAGATGCAACTATTATAAATGTAAATACACCTCATTACAGGGCACCTGGCTACTTAAAAGAACTGTGAATGGATCTAAAGGGAGACATAGACTTAAATAAAATAGTAATGAGGGACTTCAATACCCCACTTTGAGCAACAGACAGATCAACCAGACAGAAAATCAGCAAGAAAACAACAGCTAATCCACACTACAGACCAAATAGACCTAACAGATATCTATAGCACTTTTCACCCTACAGTTGCAGAATATACATTTTTTTTTTCTCACCAGTGCATGGAACTTTCTCTAGGAGAGACCACAGGCTAGGCTATTAAGCGAGTCTCAGCAAATTCAAGTAAATCAAAATCATACCATGCATCATTGGTGATCACAATGGAATGAAGTTGGGAATCAACAACTCAGGAATCTCTAGAACATACAAAACACATGGAGACTGAACAACGTGCTCCTGAATGAACAGTGTGTCATAGAAGAAATCAAAAGAGAAATCAAAAACTGTTGAGGAATAGGTTTTTCTTTTATCATACTATTTGTTGAACGCTTTACTTGGTATAGAATTAATCTTCCATATAATGTTAATTGAAAATAGATTTTAGTATAAAATAAGAATGGGAAATGGAGATGGAGGAGGAAGGAGGAAGAATGGGATAGTAGGTGAGAGGACAGGTTCAATGGGAAGAATCACTATGCTCCTAAACTTGTATCTATGAAATGCATGAGGTTTGTACACTTTAAATAAAAGGTTTGGGGGGGGGCGAAATCTACTTATTTGAAAGGCAGGATAAAAGAGGGTGAGAAACAAAGAAAAATCTTCCATCTCATGATTCATTCCCCAAATGCCCACAACAACCAGGACTTGGGCTTGGCAGAAGCCAGGAAGCATGGATTCTGTCTGGGTCTCCCATGACAGTGGCAGGAGTTCAAATACTTGAGCCACCATCTGCTGTATCCCAGGCACTTCAGCCCAACATGGATCAGATGACAGAGAAGAGACTTGATCCGAAGCACTCCAGTGTCAGGTGTCCCCAGTGATGGCGTAGCCTCCTCTAGCATTTCTGTTTTTAATGTTACCCTCTAATGAATGGTATCATTGCCATTTCCCTTCACACCCACCTTATTACAAATACTAATACCAACCAATGAATATTATGTTTCTTTCTTGTTCTAATTTTACTTACTCTGTTATGAAGCTTCTAAGAACCTTTATTTTTTTTACAACTCTAAACTTTGTTTCTATTGCTTTGACCTGATTTGCCCATATTGTCCTACAATTCTAGTTTACTGAGCCTCGCTGCTTAAATTTGACACTATGGCAAATTCTCTTCTAAGCCTTAGGTTATTTTTACTATGAAGTGGATGTGAAAATCCAGGTTAATAGTGTTTGCACTGGACAAGTTAAATCGACTTAGGTAGTAGATTGTGGCAATGCAGTCCTAGGAGACTGCTGAGTCCCAGGAACTGGAATGATGTCATCAGTATGTCATAAATGCTGCTGAGGTGCGGTGACCTGCACTGTAACAGTCTGGATGCCGTACTGAGCACCAGGCAGGACAGTAGTTAGGTGAAGAGCCTCTCATATGATCTATTGGGTTCTGAACGTTCAAATTTTTTTCCATATCCCTGCTAACTCCCAGAGAGCAGACTTACTGGGAAAAATGATATGTGATTGGAGTAATTCTCCAAAGAGTTGACCATGAAGCGGAAACAAAAGACAAAACATCTGGAAAGCACACTCTGCCCCCAGTCTGAAAAGACATCAAGAGGTATGTCTGAGGACGCCCTCTGGGTGTGGGGATGAGGAACTGCCTCTGCGAAAGGCAGACAGCAGGACTGGGGGCCGGGGTGGCAGAGCAGGACACAGGGAGCGAGGGAGAGGGGTTGTGAGTGAAGGCAGGCGGCAGACAGGAAGAGCTGTGTGTTCCCGAGTCTTCTTGAGGAACCAGGTCAAGAGAGGAAAGACAACGTCAGATGGATGGCCCAGGTGCCTCTGTGGGGTTTGGGGCCTCTGATACCCACATAAGGCCTCTCTGAGTTGCTCTGTCGCAGACATGGTAACTGGTTGGTCTAGAGTTATTTCTCTTAATGAATTGGCATTTCCTTTTGTTTTCGTTCTGAAAACACTGGAGGAACACATGATGTAAGCTTGCCACTCACACATACTCCTCTAAAGGCAGAAACGCAGGCAGCGCTTCTACAGCCGAGGAGAAATAAAGCAGTGGAGCACTTGTAAGATGGGCAAGGATCAGCAAAAGCCACCCATAATGCAACTGCTAAGAAACACAAACTTTTCTTAGACTGTGAAGACATTAACGTGGGTCTCAATATGACTGTGAGAAGTAAAACAGGACACACACAAAAAATGCAATGCCATTTAGAAATAAAGAGTAATTGAGGAGGCTCTCTTGTAAATGGGGAATTACACAGGTATGGTAACCATGGAGCTGAGTAGTAAACAGGTAACTCATTGGAGGACAGGGAGTTGCTTAGTGGGGGGGGGGGGGGAGGGGACGAGGGGACAGAATGCAGCCAACTTCAACAACCCAAATAGCGGTTCGCATTCCTGAGAAGGATCTGAAATTTAAAATTGTCAGGCTCTGCATGTTCTGATGCTTCCTTGGGCAGAGGCCTTGAGAGTGACACTATATTTCAATGTTCATAAATTCGGGTGTATACTCAAAGATGTTATTGAGTGTAAATGATGAGAAGTGTGAATCACACAGTAATACCTACCCATATATACAAAATAAAATATGTAACAGCTAGGAGGAGATACATATTAGCATCTAATATATAGGCCAGCACACTACAAGGTCTAATTATCTCTCTCTCAAAAACACGTTACACTTTGAATTCATTGGATAGAGACTAGGTCACAGCAAATAATACCCTATGAATTTACTTCTTACTTGTAGTAGGATTCAGGGTTTATGTTCAGGTCAATACAGCAAGCCCTCTCCGTGTCCTAATTCATGGAATATTATTAATGAATACTATGTAATCCTTACAGGCAGCACTCAAAGGGACCCTGGAATATCGACAGCTCAGTCAGCTGGAAAACAAAACAGCATGGTAGAGGACAGAGGTTTGTATGTCCGTGCCTGGAGGGGCGCAGGTCACCGTTCCATTAACTTAATCACTAGTTCAGAACTAACTCTCAGGCAGGTTGATGAATATAATACACATGCGAAGGTGGACAGGGGATCACCATCAGTCTGCGCACTGTTTACAAATGACACACACTGCAAATCCATTCACTCATGACATGCACTGACTCACTAAATAAATACTACGCTTAAGCTTTTCTGTTGTAGAAGACAGATTACAGCTCCATAAGCATAGAGGCAATGTGTGTCTCTTACTGTTTAAGGCTGAATAAATGCACATATACACCAGATATGAACCCCCTCTCTGAAACTACTTTTCTAATTTCTCAGCAAAGCTGAAATGATACAATGATGTTCTGCGCCATAAATAAAAAGCATTCTAAGCTCCTGCTACTGCTCTAGTGTAGGGAAAAGCCTTTGAATCCAACAAGCAACCCTAAACTCAGAAAAGTAGAAGATGTAGAAAAGGTAGGGCATACACATGAAATAGAAAAACTTGGCTCAAGTTTCGTGTATTTACTTCCTATAATGTGTGCTTACAAATTATCACCGACTTAGTCCTCTAAACAACTTGCAATTATGCCCTTGCAAGTCCTGGGTGGGGAGGAGGGTAAGGATTTGCAAATTCTGCGGAGATAAAAATCCAGGTATTGAGGAGGCTGGATTCCTCTGCAGGCTGCAGTGGAGAATGCTCCTGCATAGCCCATGTTTCTCTTAGATCTAACTTCTTACTCGCACTGTCACATATCTTCTCCCGCCTCTGACCTCCTTGACTTGCTTTCTAAAGTAAACTGGGTGTTACATTTAGGACCCAGCTATGTAACACAGGATAACCTCCACATCACAAAAACCTTCATTTCCTTTATTTTTTTTTAATTCTTTTCCTTTTTTTTTTTTTTTTTTTTTTTTTTTTTTTTTTTTTGACAGGCAGAGTATAGACAGTGAGAGAAAGAAAGAGAGAAAGGTCTTCCTTTTTCTGTTGGTTCACCTGCCATGTGGCTGCTACTGCTGCTGCGTTGTAGCCGGCGTACAACGCCGATCTGAAGCCAGGAGCCAGGTGCTTTTCCTGGTCTCCCATGGGGTGCAGGGCCCAAGCACTTAGGCCATCCTCCACTGCCTTCCCGGGCCACAGCAGAGAGCTGGACTGGAAGAGGAGTGACCAGGACAGAATCCGGCGCCCCAACTGGGACTAGAACCCAGGGTGCCGGCACTGCAGGTGGAGGATTAGCCTAGAGAGCTGCGACGCTGTCCTAAAAACCTTCATTTATTAACATCTGCAAAGTGCCCCTTCATCATTTGAAGTAACATTCATACACTCTGGAGTCCTTAAAAAGTTTGGATGGAGAGTAATACTCAAACTTCTACAACTGTCATGAAATATGTTGAACAAAATAACAGATGCACAGCTAGGTGAACAAATAATAAAATTGCCTATATTGACTATACTCAACAGGATGGTATAGTCCCAAGACAAACATAGAACAAGCACTTCCACAAAGACAATACTATATGCATACTGCATACGCCTAGCCATCAAACACTGGACCAAACTTAAAACTATTAAACACTCATATTCTAGAGCTTTGGTCAAGACAGACTGTGGTAGATAGTGAGTTCTAAAGATTCTTTGATATGAAACAGATTTTTAATTTCTTGAATGGGGCTGGCATTGTGGCATAGTGGGTAAAACCACTCCCTGCAGTGCTGCCATCCCATAGGTGTGTTAGTTCATGCCCTGACTGCTCCACTTCCAATCCAGCTTCCTTGCTAATGGCCTGGGAAAAGGGGGGGAAGGTGTCCCAGGTGGTTGGGCCCCTGCCACACACATGGGAGACCTGGAAGAAGTTCCTGGCTCCTGGCTTCAGCCTGGCACAGCCTTGTCCATTAGCCATCTCAGGAATGAACCAGTGGATGGAACCATCCCCCCCCCCCATAAATCTTGATTTTCAGATAAATATATCTTTAAAAAATTTTTTACCTTAAACAGTAATCTTAGTAATACAAACAGATAATATATACCCTGGTAATATTTCTCTGAAATAAGTAAAAGCCACATTTATCTCAACATATTTCTCCTACATGTCCCTTGAGAAAATAAAAATTCATAGTTGCAGATGTCTAAAGAGGATGCTGGAGCTGGAGTGGGTAAATGAGATGTTAGCATGTGTCTGACATCCAGCCCTTGGCTACACTGTAGTTGACAGACAACATGCGACACTGACATGGCCTATACCTAGACCTCAGCAAGAACACATGCTCTTGCAATACTGGGATATATATATATATATATATATATATATATATATATTGCGACAGGCAGAGTTAGACAGTGAGAGAGACAGAGACAGAGAGAAAGGTCTTCCTTCCGTTGGTTCACCCCCCAAATGGCTGCTATGGCCAGCGCGCTGCACTGATCTGAAGCCAGGAGTCAGATGCTTCCTCCTGGTCTCCCATGTGGATGCAGGGCCCAAACATTTGGGGCCACCCTCCACTGATTTCCTGGGCCACAGCAGAGAGCTGGACTGGAAGAGGAGTAACCGGGACCAGAACCCGGGGTGCCGGCGCCGCAGGCGGAGGATTAGGCTAGTGAGCTGCAGCACCGGCCTGTTCCACCTTTCTTATGCAGGGAATTTTCTGTTGTAGGAATCCATCAGTTCCAGGAAGAAGCTCCCTGTTTTCGATTCCCTGAGACGCCTCTCCTCCAGTGCTTAGAGCTTCAGCAGACTCTCTTGCCGTATCAGAATAACTGCTTTCATTACCATTTAGCCAATGAGCCCTGTACTCCAGAAATACATAGAAGAAGGGAAAGGGAGATAAAAGTTTACTACACGTGTGTGCAAAGAAAAAGAGAGGTGGCTGACTTACAGAATACGAAGAAAGGTTTGGAGCCTGCACCAAGGAAGGCAAGAGTACAAGAAATGACTTTCACTGGGAAGATCCCGATAGACACCAACCTCCCTGTTTTGTCCCCTTGGGAACTCCTAACGGAGAGTGAGTGTGGCTGGGATGTGGAAGAAGAGAAAGCAGCAGTGAGGGTGGGGAAGGAGGAGTCGTCGGACTGCCCAGCAGAGCCTCCCGCTCTGGAGGAGAGCCCCAGGGCCAGGACGCCCGAGTGGCTGGTGACCCCCGAGAGTGGCTACAAGTGTATGGGCTGCTGCCGAGTCTTCCCCAGCCGGACCGTCCTGCAGAGGCACGTGCAGCACGGGGTTGAGGAGGGCTTTAGCTGTCGTGCCTTCCACCTTGCCTTCGCCTGGCTGAAGAGCAAAAGGAGCATGAAAAAGAGAAGAAAGAAGAAAGCCACCTATGGCAGCAGAAAGGGGAAAGGTTTTTACGGGAGGAATTCCTCATGCAAATAAACCAGTGTTTTCCAGCCCTACCAAAGAGGAGCTGCCCTGTCACAGCACAGTCCACTGAGGCAGCCCCATCTCCTCTGAGAACCCAGAGCACCCATCTTCCCTCATGCACACCTGACACCTCCATGACCACTAGTATCGAAGAACCTTTTCTGATGGTATCCACCATTCTCTTCATCCCGAGAACCGACTGAGCTGTTGCCACCACAATAAGAAAACCTGTTTGCTTCATGAATATATTCTTTTTTTGGTTTTGGTTTCCTGATAGCAATAGGCCCAACTGGCCTGCAATGAACTATCCAACACAATGACATTCTACCCGGAAGTTATCCATCCTCATGAGCGTCATAGCATCAAACCAGGCATAGCAGCGCCCCTGGAGCTGCTCCCAACTGTCCTGGTGAAAATGTGGAGCCAGCTCTGAAGAAAACATCCAGAGCCGTGAGAAGCCCCAGGGACACTGGACACGCCTCACCCCGAGGAGACCATTTCCTATTATACTCAATGGCCCACACACAGTCAAGGGACACTGAAAACACCTTGATGACTGCCTGTGGAGAAGAGGACAATATAGGCTGAGAAATATTTTAGCACTGTGGGAAGCAAAGCTTCCATCCCTGTCAGAGCTATCAGGATGTGTGATGACTTGGCAGAAATCTAGAGAGATTTCTCAACAGACTGAGGACCTAGCACATGCTGGTTCTCTTCCCACTTTGAGGTCTCCTCCAGCTTCTGGTTGTTGTCTTCCATTTACTATGTACTTCAATATCCAGCTCATAGTCTCCTGATCCAGACCGGATAGTGCACTTCACCCCATTCAACACAATCCTTCCCCTCCTCCAAAAGAGAGTATGTAGGAGTACATGCTTGATGCACAAAAGTAAAATTAGACACAAAATCTAAATCAAACACATTGTATACATTGTAATACCCTTCTGTAGTCTCTTCCACCCTTACTGAGTGTGCATTGCCAAAAATTCGTTATAGTTTTCTGTTTCCTCTTTACATGAACACAGACCTTTGCCCATGTCTCCCTCTAACATCCTTAGCAGTCCATTATTTATGGGAGGACAGACTGAATTTTAAAGGCAGGAAATAAGATTCTAAACAGATAAAATCAACTAAAAGACACTCTTTGGCTTCTCTGAGCGTGTGCACTTATAGGTGAACAAATGCTTCTTCAATCATAATAGTAAGGATGGAACATTTAATAAAACATCTGACAAAATCAATCATCCGTATATTCAGATGTCCTCCAAACCATAATGTAGTTTGAAGCTTAACACAATTAGAAGTATAGAAACTACTAACTTCTGGAAGATATCATTTGCATGTCATTCATAGTTATTTAAGTTTTTATACTTTCAAAATAAAATTTGAATTTTATCACAATTTGCCATCTCCCACCAGAGAGACAGAAAAATAAAGTGAAACGAGTAGACCAAGCTATAGAGAGTAGTTCAATTTTCAAAATGCTGCTCTTTATACATTATAGCTTTTATCCTCCTAAAATTACTAGAGCTTAAAATTGCATGATGCCATTAGGGACACCTGTATACATACATAGCTGGTTATCTTGAAACAGTGTTGTTCCCGCCTTCCTTGTAGATGTGTATTTATAAGAAGCATATGTGAACATGTGTGTGCACAAACTCCACAGGAGCCGAAAGGTAGGTTGTAGTTGCTTTTGCTTTCATCTTCCTGATATTTCCGCCTTCTTTGGTAAGAACACCACCTCCCCACCATGACTAACCGGATGAGGTTCCTAGTCCACTAGCTGGCGTTCATGATTGGTCTAAGCATAAGCAAATGTCTGTGTTAGAGCAGTCTAAACCGCTGCCATGGAAAACTGGAACACAAGAGACAGAGGCTCTGGGGGTTCACCTGGAGTTATCTTTACTCTGCAACTTGAATAGAGCTCTATGAGCTTCTGCCACTGCACTTGCTACAACCTCTTTTATTTTTTTTAATAAAATACCTGGCGATTTTAACAGCTACTTTGATTTTCTGAGCACCTCATTAAACCTTCAATAAATTTTTTCGTTTTGGTTTTTCATCAATGAGCCTGGGTCATTTGTTGTTGTTTGATGCTTAATTTACCTTTGTTCATGAACATTAGCTTTAATTCAGTATTTTTCCCCATTTTAAAAATTGAAATTTTCCTAGGACTTTATCTTAAAACACTTAGATTTGTTTAATTTGTTTGAACACCTACATCGAATGATTGGAGTTCCATACAACAGAGCTGGCTTTAAATCCCTGCACTGTGCCTAGCTTAAGTCCCCTTCCATAGCATTGTCCTCTACATCAGCTCACTCTCTGGAGAATGGAGGTGAAAGTATTAAACATGATATTTAAATACTACAAAGATGAAATATACATACATAACAGTATTCTGAGGGTCACACCACAAGTAAATGCGCAGGATACAGTGTCTGGTTTAAGTGGTTAACATATTTTCATTTATTTTATGCATATATACATACATATAATTTCATATATGTGCTATGCAGATAAGGATGCTAATGCAAGGCTTAAAGGACTTACACCCAAAATCCAAAGTGGTTTTAGCCTGTGTCACACCCTTGACCTTCAACATCTCACCTTTACTTCAATATAATCAATCTACCACAAAGAAACATTTTTAAAACCCAAGTTTTGCAGCTGGACAGCCTTATCCTGTTTTATTATTTAAATTAACAATAATTGCACATATTTGTGGGCTACAGTGTGAAATTTCAGTGTGTGAATACAATGTGTACTGATCAAAGGGTGATTGATAGTTTTGTTTTTTGCCATTACTTTATCATTAGAGTCCTGGAGTTCCTTCTGTTTTTCCATACAGTATATACTAGGCTTTTGTCAACTATACTTACCTCCACTATGCTTTGTAATGTGTAGTTATTACACACTGTGTAATGTGAAGTTATTCTTTTTATCTAAATCTGACATGGCATCCATTATCTACACTTCCTCCTTCACCTCCACCACTCACAGGCTACAGTGCTCACCATCTGTGTAGAGACTCGAGTTTTTTAGCTTCCATATGAGGAAGAACATGTAGTATCTGTCTTTATGTGTATGGCTTATTTAACTTAACATGATGTCCTCCAGTTCCATACTTTTTGCTAGAAATGAAGAATTTCATTTTTTTTTGCCAGAGTAATACTCTTCTGCTACATATGCTATATTTTCCTTATCCATTCATCTGATTATGGCCACATGTGTTGATTCCATATGTTGGTTATTATGTATAGTGCAGTAATAAACATAGCAAGGAGGCATCCCTTTGATATGATGAGTTCTATGTTTTTTGGGTATATACCCAGCAGTGGGATTGCTGGATCACATGGCAGTTCTATTTCTAGTATTTAAAGGAATTCCCATACTGGCTTCCACAGTGACTGTGCTAATTTTTACTCTCCCATCCCAACAGTGTGTAAAGGTTTCTCTAGGAGCCAGCATTGTGGCATAGGAGTTTGAACTTCTGCCTGTGACACCAGCATCCCAAATGGTGCTGGTGTAAGTCCTGGATCCAGCTTCCCTGATAACGCATTTGCAAAAGCAGCAGAGGATGGTCTGGGTGCTTGGGCTCCTGCACACAAGTGGGAGAACCAAAGGAAGCCACCAGCTCCTGGCCCACTAGCCTGGCCCAGCCCTGGTGGCTGTGTCCTTTTGGGGAATGAACCAGTGTCTTCCTCTCCTAACTCTGCCTTTCAAATAAATAAAGAAATCTTAAATTTTTTTTCTCTACATCCTCTCCATCATTTCTTACTTTATCTTTTTGCTAATGGTCATTCTAACAGGCGTGAGGTAACGCAGTTTTGATTTCCATTTCTCACATAGCTATTGATATTGCACATTTTTTTCATGTACTTGTTGGTCATATGTGTATCTTTTGAGAAATGTGTATTCAGGACGTTTGCCCCATCTTAACTGGGTTTTTGTGGCTGTTGCTGTTCTTGAATTTCTTAAATATTCTGGATTTTTTCCTTTATAAGATAAGTAACAAATATTTTGTCCCCTTCTGCTGAATGCTGCCTCACTCTGTGGATTGTTTACTTTTCTATACAGAAACTTCCAAATTCGATATGATCTCCTATGTCTAGTTTCGTTTTTCTTGCCTGTGTGTTGGGATTCTTATCAAAAAACCATTTCTCATACCCAAGTCTTGAAGTGTTTCCCCTATGGTTTCTTCTTGCAATTCCATATTATCAGATCTTATACTTAGGTCTTGATCCATCTTGAGTTTTTTAATACAGTGAAAGATAAGGGGTTTAATTTAATTTTTTATTTATGTATTTGGTTTCTACCAGTGGCATTTTAAAAATATTTATTATATACTAATTTAAAATGCAGAGTGACAGAAAGAATCTGCTTGATATCTTTAAAGGCTTATTTATTTACATGAAAGAGAAATAGAGAGATAGGGAGAATCAGAGAGAGAGATAGGAGAGAGATCTTCCATCTGTTGGCTAACTTGCCAAATGGCTACAGTAGCCAGGTCTGCACTAGGCCAAAGCCAGGAGCCAGGAACTCCATCATGGTCACCCACATGGATGGCAGGGACGCAGGTAATTGGGTCAACTCTGTTGCCTTCCCATGGGTATTACCAAGAAGCTGGATGGGAAGTGGAGCAGCCAGGACTAGAGCCAGCAATCTGATATGGGATGCCACTGTTGCAGGCAATGACTCAACCTACTGCCCCACAATGCCAGCCCTTGTTTTATAATTTTCATTGTAGACATCTTTCACCTCCTTGGTTAAGCTTGTTCTTTAATATTTAATGTTTGCAATTACTGTGAATGGAATTTCTCAATTTTCCTTTCAGCAATTTTCCTTTCAGCCGGATCATATAAAAATGCAACTGTTCTTAAAATGTTGATCTGTGGCCGGTGCTGCGGCTCACTAGGCTAATCCTCTGCCTTGCGGCGCCGGCACACCAGGTTCTAGTCCCGGTCGGTGCGCCCGATTCTGGCTCGGTTGCCCCTCTTCCTGGCCAGCTGTCTGATGTGGCCGGGGAATGCAGTGGAGGATGGCCCAAGTGCTTGGGCCCTGCACCCTATGGGAGACCAGGATAAGCGCCTGGCTACTGCCATCAGATCAGCGCAGTGCGCCGGCTGCAGTGCGCCAGCCGTGGCAGCCACTGGAGGGTGAACCAACGGCAAAGGAAGACCTTTCTCTCTGTCTCTCTCTCTCCCTGTCCACTCTGCCTGTAAAAAAAATAAAATAAAAAAAAAATAAAATGTTGATTTGTATCATGAAGCATTACCTAATTGGTTTATCAGTCTAAGAGGAATTTTTAGATATTTTTTTGCACAGAATCATGTCATTTCCAAGTGTGCACATTCATACTTTCTTATTTCTTTCTCTTCCATAATTGCTCATTATATTCCAATACAGTACTGAATAAGAGTAGTGAAAGATGGCACATTTATCCTGCTCCAGATCTTAGGAGCAGTCCTTTAAGCTTTTCCCCATTCTGTATGAAAGTGGCTTTGGGTCTGTCATATACCGTTTTTATTATTTGGATGCAGGATCCTTCTAAATTTGTTGTAAATTATTTTTTATCATGAAGGAGTGTTGAACCTTATCAAATGCTTTTTCAGCATTATTGAGATGATCATATGGTTTGAGTTCTTCATTCCACTGATGTGATTGATGACCTTTATTGATCTGTGAATGTTGAGCCATCCTTGTATTCCCATATTGAATGCAGCTTGAACATAATGTCTGATCAATGCTGGATCTAGTTTGCTAATGTTTTGTTGACAATTCTTGAATCTGTGTTCATAAAGGATGTTGGTCTGTGGTTTCATTTCTATGTTGTGCCTGTGTTTGGTTTTGGGATCAGAGTAATGCTGGCTTCCTCAAAACAGTTTTTCCATTCTTTTCAATATTTTGTGATACTGTGATAAGGTCTGGAGTTAGTTCCTCTTTATATGTTTTGTAGAATTCAGTTGTAAAGAAACTTTTCTTTGATAGGAAGCTTTTAATTATTGTTTCAATCTCATTACTTGTCATTGGTCTGTGTAGATTTTCTTCATAATCTTAATTTCTTCACCATCTTAATTCATCATCTTAATTTTCTTCATCACCTGAATTTGTGTCTGGGAATTTATCCATTTCCTCATGGCTTTTCAAATTGGTATCATACAATTTTTCATAGCAGTTTCTTATGATCCTTTGTGATTCTATTGCTATCAGTTGTAACGTTTTTTTCTCCCACTTTATTTATTCAAGTTTTTTTTTCTCTTTCTTACTATGACTATATTTCTCTATTTTATTTTTTCAACAAACTTTTTAAATTAGTTTATATTTTATTTATTTCTGCTCTGATCTTTATTATTTCTTACTACCTGCTAATTTTACCTTTGATGTGTTCCTGCTTTCCTAAGTCCTTAAGATGCACTGTTTATTAGAAATCTGTCTTAATGTATGCACATATTGCTATAAACTTCCTTCAATACAACTTTTACTATGTCCTACAGATTTTGACATGTTGTGTTTTTATTTTCCTTGGCTTCAGGATTTCTATTTTTGCTTATTTGAAAAGTTCTTTAAAGATCCATTGGTAATTCAGAAACATGCTGCTTAATTTCCATGTATTTGTAAAAATTTCTACTGTGCTGTTTGTTGTTGACTTCTAGTTTTATTCCATTGCATTTGTGAAGATATGAGATGACCTCAACTTATAAAACTAATTGAGGTTTTATTTATTCCTTGATACAGGGTCTATTCTTGGAAATGTTCCATGTGTTAATAACAAGAACGTGTTTTCCATAGCTGTTGAATGATATGTTTTGTAAACATCTGTTGGGTCCATTTGCTCTATAGGATGGTTCAATTCTGATGTATCCTTGTTGATATTCTGTCTGGATGATCTCTCCATTGATCAAAGTGGGGTTTTGAAGCTCCCCCATGTATTGTATTGGAAACTATCTCTTTCTTTAGGTCTAATAATATATTTTAAAAGATTTTATTTATTTATTTGGCAGGTAGAATTACAGACAGTGAGAGCAGACTGGCGCCTTGGCTCTCTTGGTTAATCCTCTGCCTGTGGCACCGGCATCCCATATGGGCACTGGGTTCCAGTCCCGGTTGCTCCTCTTCCAGTCCAGCTCTCTGCTGTGGCCCGGGAGGGCAGTGGAGGATGGCCCAAGTGCTTGGGCCCCTGCACCCACCTGGGAGACCAGGAGGAAGCACCTGGCTCCTGGCTTCGGATCAGTGTAGCTCCGGCCATGGCGGCCATTTGGGGAGTGAACCAATGGAAGGAAGACCTTTCTGTCTCTTTCTCTCACTGTCTAACTCATCTGTCAAATAAAAAAAAAAAGTCTACACCGATCTGAAGCCAGGAGCCAGGCGCTTCCTCCCGGTCTCCCATGCGGGTGCAGGGGCCCAAGTGCTTGGACCATCCTCCACTGCCTTCCCAGGCCACAGTTGAGAGCTGGACTGGAAGAGGAGCAAACGGGACTAGAACCCGGCACCCATATGGGATGCAGGCACTGCAGGCAGAGGATTAACCAAGGGACCCATGGTGCCAGCCCCAGGTCTAATAATATTTGCTTCATATATTTGCTAGTCTTGTGTGTTGTAATTGTTATATCTTCTTGTGAATTGATGTTTTTATCACTGAACCATGTCCTCCTTTACCACTTTTTACAATATTTGATTTAAAGTATGTTTTTTCCTTCTTGTTTCTACTCATTTTGGGTTTCCATTTGCATGTCTTTTTCCAACTTTCCCTTTCAGTCTATGTGTATTTGACCCCTGAAGTCCATTTCTTATGGACAGCATATGGACAGCATATAATTGAATTTTGTTTTTTTAATCCATTCAGCCAACATGCATCTTTTCATTGGGGCATTAACCCAGTTACATTAATGGTTAATTGTGATAGATTATTTATTGTTTATTTTATATGTTTCCTTTTGTCTCTATCTTTGTGGTCTGGCAATTCTCTGTCATTATACAGTTTCATCCTCTATGTCTTTTTCTTTCTTTTTGGTATCTGTGTTGTGAGTGAATTTTGTACTGCTGTTGCTTTGTCCTATCAGGCATGCCTGAGTGATGTTATGGCTTGTGGCACCAATAGCTTTGGCCCTGGAATGGTGTGTTGTGGAGGGGATCTCCCCCAGTTCCTACTGGGTGGCTGTAGATGATTCTGGTGCTCAAAGTACCAAAAGCCAAGTCCCAGCCTGGGGGATGGGAACAGCCTTCGGCTAGGTCCCATGGGGTGAAAATACATTGTGCTGAGGATTGCACACTGGCAGACACACATGTGGAGCAATGGAATGCACACAGAGTCTTCCTTTGGTTCCACAGTGTGGATTCAGGTGACTGAGGTATATAATAGTAACACTCAACTCAGAGTTGCAGTACATGAAGTGTAACTTGCCCAGTTCCCAAGGTAGATTGTTAGGTTATTGTGGGGACTGTGCATTGGCAGCTGTAGGTTTATAATGAGGGAGTGGAAATGGGGCCTCCCTCAGGCCCCACAGGGCAAGTGCAGATGTCGCTGGGACTTGCAGAGTCAACCATTTCAGTGCCAGAGCTGCTAGATACAGTAGAGGTAAAACCAGGTTCCATGTTTCATGTCTCACAGGGTGAACTCAGCTGACTCTAGCGGATACAGTTCAAACAGCCTCAGTCCATGAGCTGCAGGAATTGAAGGGGAGCTTACCTACACCCCACAGGGAGACAACCAGTTACATTTGAGACTGTGCACTAACAGTCACAAGCCTGGAACAGTGGGATGTAGAAAGGCCTCACTTGGGAACCAAGATGAACCTGCTGAGAATTACGGACTAGCAGCCACCAGCCTGAAGGACAGGCAAATAGGACCACCTAGGTACTATCTATAAATGAGCATTACTCCAGGGACTGTAGCACCAATAAGCACAGACCCAGAGCTGTAGTACCCAGAAGGGACTGCTCCCGGTTCTCATGGGGCATGCGAGAGCGATGCTGCAGTTTATGCCCGAGCTATCACACTCTGCTAATACATGTAGAAGGGGACTTACTCAGGTCTGGTCCTCAGGATTTGTGTATGGGCTGCCACTGGCACTGAGCCCCAAGAAACAGAGAGGGACTTCCCTGGACCACACATAGCAGGCAATTGTGACTCTGAAGCTTGTGGTCACCAATCCCAGAGCTGATGGAAACAGAGGGGTCTGCTTTCTGTCCTGTCCAGCACACTGGCTCATGGGGCTTCTTGTGTTGAGCAGCCTGCCTGCTGTAACCAAGATGGAATAGAGGTCATCCTGGCTGTGTAGCAGCAGCAGCTCCAGTCTGGGACTTTGGAACAGGCAGAAGCAATGTGAGTTCCTGTCACTGGGACCCCCAGACAGCTTTCTGGAATGGATTAAAGCCAGTGAGGGTTGTGCATAACTCCTGTAACCAGGGCTCCAGGCTCCAATGATGCCAGTCTTCGGTGGAGATTCTTGAGATTTCGGATTACCTTTTCCTGGCAAGTCGATGCCCCTGGCAAGGGAGGCAAGGTAGAGAGTTGAGTGTAGTTTGTTCCTCTCTCTACACTGGCTGAGTTGCTGGGCTGTGCAGAGCTCTCTTCACTTATTTGCACAAGATTTTCTCTAATCAATGTCCTGGACTAAATCTTCATTTATTCTTCTGGTTCTATGGAACAGAGGCAAATGTAGGACCTCACTTCAACCATCTTAGATCCCTCTGTTTTTCATTCATTTTTGAGATTTGTTTTACTTTACCTTTGATTTTCAGCAGCTTGTTTATGATGTATCTGGGTATGATTTTCATTCTGCAAGTTAGCCTTTTAAAATTAGTCTCATTTGACAATTCCTGAGCTCTTCAAAAAAGTATTCTTGATGTGAGCAGATCATATCAATGCAGGTTGATTCTCCTTGTCAAACACAAGTACATTCAGCTGTTAAATTACCACATGCTGAGAGGGACCTACTGTATATGCGATGTGCTCCTACTTCCCAAATCTTTGACGGTGAAGAATCTTTTCATAAACTTAAAGCCCGCAAGAGGTCTAAAGCATGGCTAAAAGGAGGTTTTATTCTCAGACTTAGTGATTTAAACCCAGGACTCTGATTCCATGATGTGGGCACAGTCCACTACACCACGAGTGGTGTAGTCCATGAGTATCGGGCTTTCAACCTCTGTGGGACCTGAATAAACCATGAGCATTAGAATTTGGGGCCAGTCAGTCCTGATAATTAGTTCTGTGAAACGCTCATTTGCAGCCAGCTTATGCAAGCTTCCAAATCCACAGTAAAGCCAGGTCTCAAGTGTTTTCAAGTTTTCCACCTATTCATGAAGTGTTCTCTTGATCCCTAACCAGCAGTTAGAGGTTGGAAAGGACTTCAATGGTCTCTACACAATCTGCAGCCTCTTCATTGTTCGGGCTCTAACTCCCGCTGCTGCAGAACAGAAACTAGGTTCCTGCAGAGATTTCTGTCTTAGCCATAACTCCAGCTGCACAACCCACAGCCCCATTCTCTCTTACAGTTCAAAGTGTACTGCCCACCTGGGGCTTCTTTTCATTTTCTGTCTCTGTCTTTGTTTTCAGCCAGGATTATTTGGGGACCTTCAGTAGTTTAAACAACCTTTAACCTTTTCATTGCTGTGCATGAGGACAACTAAAGCTGTTATCAAAATCTTACTTTATGGAGACTAACACGGGTTTTCAGTGTTTGTTTTTATTATTAATTTTGTGTGATGTACATACCTTCTCCATCAATATTTGTATTATGGTACTATGTATTTGGTAATGAATCTTTAACACTGGGAAGGAAAAAAATACTGTGATTAAAGTGGTTCTTTTCCCCCTCTGACTTCTGTATTTTAAATAAAGCCACAGTCATTTATAAAAAAGAAAAGCATATGTCTGTGGGTAAAACTTTCGAAAACAGAGATCAAAGTAAACTGCATAAGATTTTTACATCATTGCTGTATGTATCTGATATAGAGATCACTATACATGTAAATCTAATCTTTTATTTTCTGTTAACTTGTGATCATTGAGAAAGTGTTTGAAACTTTCTCATGAATGTGTGTGTGTTTGCGTGTGTATAAATGGCATATATATATATATAAATATAAAAAATTCATTCAGGGAAATTTGTGTTCCTTTCCTTTTAACCGAATTTCAAATTTTTAGCATGGATTTGAAAAGCATTAAAATTATAACTTTGTATACAAGATGAAAATAATTAACTAAACTTTTCCTTTTTTACACAAAACACAATTTTAAAGTTAAAAGGAAGAAAAACATTTTGATTCCAATGGAAGAATAGCATGTGCAAAAACAGCCCAGAGTAACTGCATACACCTGCTATCCAGCTTCCTCCAACATAATTACAGTATTTTCTCAAAGCAAGGATTGATTAGAAGTATGTAATACCAAATCACAGACCTTACTTGCCTTTTACTACTTGTTGCACATGCTCATTCATGGGTGTTTTTGTTTTTACCACTGTGACGTTTTGCCCTGTGTGTAGATGTGCATACCCCCACTGCAGCGGAGACACAGACGAGCTGTGTTCTCACAAGGGAGTACCCTATGTTAACCCTGACAGCCTCACCTTCCTCTCCTGTAACTCTTGGGACCATTTACCTACTTTTCATCTCAGGAATTCTTAATGTTAAGGGTGTTATATAAATGGAATCATATACTATATAAATTTTTGAGATTAGTTTTTTCAACTAAGCGTAACTACTTGAAGATACATTCAAACTGTTGTTAAGAGTAGTTTATTTCATTTATTGTTGAGTTGTATCCCAGTGCATTCTGTGGAACAGTTTAACATGTGCCACAATTGAGGGAAGCTGGCTTATTTTTTTCACGTTATTGATAATTAAAGACATTATTGTACAAGTTTTTGTGTAAACATATCGTTTCCCAGTATTAATGTCTGAGTGATACTGCTTCGTTATGCACAGATGTGTATTTAATTTCTTAAAAGCATCACAGATGAGCTCTATAGCAGCCAAATTAGTTTTATATTTCCACCAAGCAATGAGAAATCCAGTTTTGTGGAGTCTCATTAGCATTTGTTAATATTGATGTTCATTTACTTTTTAATTCATTTTAATAGGCTTGTATTAAATCTAATGGTGCCTCAGTTTAAATATTTTGTTCATTTTAAAAGTCCACTGTTTCCTGACTTTATAGTGAGTCCTTCATAGGTAATACGCAATTATTTTCACTCAATTTTTTGTTTCTTTTTACAACATCTTAACTGAATTCGGGCAAAGTGAAACTTCTTTATTTTCAAGAAGGCAAACATATCGGTTGTTTTCTCCTGTGGCCAATGCCTTCAGTGCCAACAGCACAGAGAGGAAGCATGCAGAGCTGCCGCGGAAACTGAGACGTCTGGGACCCATGGGGAGACAGAGCTGGGAGAAGCAAGAGCTGGGACGGTCCATGGAGGTGGGTGTCTGAAGGCCAAGAAGCCAAACTTGTTTATGGGAAACCATAAAATGCACTCGAATCACACAACTCTCACCCTTCTTCTCCCTTGCACCTTTCTCTACATTCAGATGCTTGTTGTCAGTTGTCTACTGTATTCTGGCATTAAGTGTTGCGACCACATTTACTGTGATGTTTCCATTCATTTTTGAGTTGGTTGTACCATAGTTAGAGTGATTAGCTAAAGAAGGGCTTTTCTAGCACACATACTCCCTGAAAAATTTGCCAACCATTTGACAATGTCTGCCAGGTTCTTTTATACTTGAAGAACAATCTGGCTGCACATACTATTCCAGAATCACTCTTTCTTTCGTTTAATACCTGTCAATACTTTTTCACTGTTTTTGTAATTTAAAATAAATGTTTAATTAAGGTTATAAATACTATAGCAAGCATTTTGAGCTGTTTCAATTTCTTACGTGGAATGACTTTGGGGATAAATAACAAGGAAATCTCATCTCTTTTCAGATTGCCTTAGTCTTTTGCCTCCTCCATTCCATTATTTTCAAGCAATGGAAGGTGCCTTATAGAAGCTTAAGGCCAGCTTCATGTTTAGCTCCTTTAAGTCATTCACTTCTTCGCCTTGGGTATCTAAACAATGTGTTTGTTTTATCAAATGAAATAAAAATATCACTGGAGGTTTTAAGTTTCTCCATCATTTTATTCCTGCAAAACAGTGAATCACTTTCATTTCTGACTTCAATTCTTCCCTCATGCTATGAAAATCAGAGTACTTCAAAAACTCATAGGAAAGCATGTTAGAGTAAATATAATGTTAGTCTAGTGTATTTTTTCTTTTTTTATTGTGTAAATCTTACTTTATTTTATACTATGTAAGCTTTTTTTAACATTTATTTAATGAATATAAATTTCCAAAGTACAGCTTATGGATTACAATGGCTTCCCCCCCATAACTTCCCTCCCCCCGCAACCCTCCCCTTTCCCTCTCCCTCCCCCCTTCCATTCACATCAAGATTCATTTTCAATTCTCTTTATATACAGATCAGTTTAGTATATATTAAGTAAAGATTTCAACAGTTTGCACCCACATAGAAACACAAAGTGAAAAATACTGTTTGAGTACTCGTTATAGCATTAAATCACAATGTACAGCACAGCGCACAGTGCACAGTGACTCCTGTTGTTGACTTAACAAATTGACACTCTTGTTTATGGCATCAATAATCACCCTAGGCTCTTGTCATGAGTCGCCAAGGCTATGGAAGCCTTTTGAGTTCACCAACTCTGATCATATTTAGACAAGGTTGTAGTCAAAGTGGAAGTTCTCTCCTCCCTTCAGAGAAAGGTACCTCCTTCTTTGATGACCTGTTCTTTTCACTGGGATCTCACTCGCGGAGATATTTCATTTAGTTTTGTTTTTTTTTTTTTTTTTTTTTTTTTTTTTTGCAAGAGTGTTTTGGCTTTCCATGCCTATAATACTCTCATGGGCTTTTCAGCCAGATCCGCGTGCCTTAGGGCTGATTCTGAGGCCAGAGTGCTGTTTAGGACATCTGCCATTCTATGGGTCTGCTGTGTATCTCGCTTCCCATGTTGGATTGTTCTCTCCCTTTTTTTATTCTATCAGCTAGTATTTGCAGACACTAGTCTTGTTTATGTGATCCCTTTGGCTCTTAGTCCTATCATTATGATCAATTGTGAACAGAAATTGATCACCGGGACTAGTGAGATGGCATTGGTACATGCCACCTTGATGGGATTGAATTGGAATCACCTGGTATGTTTCTAACTCTACCATTTGAGGTAAGTCAGCTTGAGCATGTCCCAAATTGCACATATTTGATCAAGGATACAAAACCAATCCCTGGAGTAAGGACAGTCTATTCAATAAATGGTACTGGGAAAACTGGATTCCACGTGCAGAATCATGAAGCAAGACCCCTACCTTTCACCTTACACAAAAATTCACTCAACATGGATTAAAGACTTAAATCTATGACCCGACACCATCAAATTACTAGAGAGCATTGGAAAAACCCTGGAAGATATAGGTACCAGCAGTGACTTCTTGGAAAATACCCCAGAAGCACAGGCAGTCAAAACCAAAATTAACTTTTGGGATTGCACCAAATTGAGAAGTTTCTGTACTTCAAAAGAAACAGTCAGGGAGTGAAGAGGCAACCGACAGAATGGGAAAAGATATTTGCAAACTATGCAGCTGATAAAGGGCTGATAACCAGAATCTACAAAGAAATCAACAAACTCCACAACATCAAAACAAACAACCCACTTAAGAGATGGGCAAGGACCTCAATAGACATTTTTCAAAAGAGGAAATCCAAATGGCCAACAGACACATGAAAAAATGTTCAAGATCACTAGCCATCAGGGAAATGCAAATCAAAACCACAATGAGGTTTCACTTCACCCCGGTTAGAATGGCTCACATTCAGAAATCTACCAACAATAGATGCTGGATAGGATGTGCGGAAAAAGGGACACTAACCCACTGTTGGTGGGAATGCAAACTGGTGAAGCCACTATGGAAGTCAGTCTGGAGATTCCTCAGAAACCTGAAGATAACCCTACCGTTCGACCCAGCCATCCCACTCCTTGGAATTTACCCAAAGGAGTTTAAATTGGCAAACAAAAAGGTGGTCGGCACCCTAATGTTTATTGCAGCTCAATTCACAATAGCTAAGACCTGGAACCAACCCAAATGGCCACCAACAGTAGACTGGATAAAGAAATTATGGGACATGTACTCTATAGAATACTATACAGCAGTCAAAAACAACGAAACCCAGTCATTTGCAACAAGATGGAGGAATTTGGAAAACATCATGCTGAGTGAATTAAGCCAGTCCCAAAGGGACAAATATCATATGTTCTCCCTGATTGGCGACAACTAACTGAGCACCAAAGGGGAAACTTGTTGAAATGAAATGGACACTGTGAGAAACGGTGACTTGATCAGCTCTTGTCCTGACTGTTGATGTACAATGTAATACTTTATCCATTTTAGTTTTTTTTGTTGTTCTAGTACTATTGGTTGAACTCTGTAATTAACACATAAAATTATTCTTAGGTGTTTAAATTTTAACTGAAAAGTGATCCCTGTTAGGAATCTGGAAAGCATTATGTTGAGTGAAACAAGCCAGTCCCAAAGGGACAAATACCGTATGTTCTCCCTGATCCGTGACAACTAACTGAGCACCAAAGAGGAAATCTGTTGAAGTGAAATGAACACTATGAGAAATGGTGACTTGATCAGCCCTTGCCCTGACTGTTGATGAACAACTTAATACGTTATCCCTCTTAGTATTTTTTTGTTTATTTGTTCTACTTAATACTTTTGGTTGAATACTGTAATCAATACACAGTTATTCTCAAGTGTTGAAACTTAAATGAAAAGTGATCGCTGTTAAATATAAGAGTGGGAGTAAGAGAGGGAAGAGTCTAGTGTATTTTCATGTATTTAAAAACAATGTGATGGAATTTTCAATCTTTCCAACATTCAGGAATGTTAAATATTTGAGGGAACAGATATATTTATACTGACTGGATACTACACAATGTAAACATGTATGCAAAGTATCACATGGTACCTCATCTATGAATAACATTTTTACATAACTGATAAAACATTCTAAAAAGTAACAAAAATACAATATGGTAGATCTCCCTGTGCCAAAAATTTCTGAAATCCATGCATACACATTGCCTTCAAAAGGTTCATGGAAAATGTGTATTATGAAAAGACAATGAATGGATCTAAAATTTTTTGACAGCAAAATAAACAACTTTTAATGTCCATATTTCATGACCATTTGAAGTAATTTTGCATTGGGTCTTAAACAACTGTCTGTCTGTTAAACTCTTCAGAAACATTATTATAACTTTGCTGTGTCAGTTCTTTCTGAAATACGTTATGTTCTAGTCATCAGCATCATTTTCCTTTCCTTCACACTTCCTTCATTACGAATATTTACGACAATTAATACATTTCAAGCTTTACTATGTTTCTGTCCTGTTCCAGTTAGCATATTTTCTTACTAACTCTTTTCAAGTCTAAATTTTTTTTTATTTCTTTATATCACTTTTTTCATATTGTCCTCTACTTGTGGTTCCTTTGAATTTAGTTGCCTAAATTCTACAGTACGAAGTATTCTATTCTATTCTATTCTTCTGGTTACATTTAATTATTACATTAATTATTTCTTTGATTCTTCTGCTTCGTTTTATTCTTTATTCAATATATTTATATAGTTGTGTGCCATTTTCGTCCTGCTTACTTTTGCTTACTGTTGGATTTCTATTCTCAGATGACTATTTTGCTGTAAGTAAACCTCTCAATGTCTTCAGGTTTTTTTCTTGTGGTGGTACGATGAAAAGTCGTGATACTGCTTCCCCAGACAAAAGTCAACCTCCTAATGCCCACCATCCTGCAATGTGTTACCATAAATGGCCAGAGACTTTGTAGATGGGATTAAGTCATGGATTTTGAACTGGGAAGATTATCCTGGATGGTCTGGGTGATGACAGTATAATCATAGGGCACTTCACGAGAGGCAGCAAAGAGGGTGCAGGTAGAGTGAAGTGTGACAACAGAAGCGAACGCTGGAATCACACCTTTGAAGGTGAACGTACAAGGCTGCTTGAAAGGACTTTCCTCTAGTTTCCAGAAAAAAAAAAACAGCCCAGCCACACCTTGATCTTGGGCCTTCATATTATGCCCAGAAGTTTGTGGTGATTTGCTACAGTAGTGACAAGAAACCAGACCTGATGTGCATCATGTTTATTTTACAGCAAGATTAGTTTTTTCTTGTTTAAAAATTAGATAGTTGAAATATTAATATCCTCGGTCATTAGCCTGCTCAAGAAACCATTTTTGATTATTTCCTTAACTTCTAGTTTCTCTTTTAGTTGTGATCACCAGTTCTTTCTGATGCTCCCTCTCATAAACATATTTTCAGTTGACTTTATGTCTGTTCTTAAAAGCAAATTCTCTAAAAATACACACATAGACTTATGGAACAGAATAGGAAACCCAGAAATTCATCCATGAATCTACAACCAACCAGTCTTTTACAGATGAGCTAAAATCATTCCCTGTAGAAAGGACAGTTTCTTCAACAAATGATGGAGGGAATTCCCATATGCAAAAAATTTGAAACCAGAGTCCTACCTTACACCTGAAGAAAAGTCATCTGAAAATGGATCAAATACCTAAACTTAAGACATGGAACCACCAAACAACTAGAGGAAAACATAGGGGGAAATATTCAAAGACATGGCACAGAAAAGACTTCCTGGGTAAGATCCCAAAAGCACAGGCAATAAAAACAAAGGTAGACAAATGGGATTATATCAAGATAAGGAGTTTCTGAATAGCAAAGTAAACAATTAACAAAATGAAGAAGCAACCATCAGAATTGAAGAAAATATTTACAAATTATCATCCAGTTGTGCTTAATACCCAGAATATATAAGGAGCTCAAGAAACTCAACAACAATAAAAATAGCAAAAATCCAGTTAAGAAATGGCCAAAGGATATGAATGGACATTTTTAAAGGAAAAAATACGAATGGACAACAGACACATGAAAAAATGCTCAAGATCTCTAGCCATTAGAGATATGCAAATAAAAACCACAATGAGGTAACACCCAACTCCAGTTAGAATGGCTACCATCCAAAATTCAAAAAATAAATGATGAGGCTGTGCAGAAAAGGGTATCCTAATACACTGTTGTAGGAATGTAAAGTGGTACAACCATTATTGAAAACAGTGTTGAGATGCCTCAGAAAACTAAAAATAAATCTGCTATACGACCCCAGCCATTCTATACCAGGGAATATATTAAAAGGAAGTGAAATAAGCATACAAAAGAGATACCTGCACTCCCATATTTACACTAGCTCAATTCATGATAGCAAAGATATGAAGTCAACCTAAATGCACATCAACTGATGACTGGAAAAAAATTTGGTATATTTATATGATGGAATATAACTCAGACATGAAAAAGAACAAAATCTTGAAATTTGCAACAAAATGGATGGAACTGAAGATCACTGTGCTAACGGAAATAAGTCAGACACAGAAAGACAAATATCATATTTTTTCTCTTCTGTGTAGATGTTAATATAGAGAATATAAAAATTATGTGGCTTTCCTCTCATTGTATATAGATATAAATATTACTTCACTGAATTATAAAGCCATTACACTTTGTGAAATAAGCCAGTGCCAAAAAGACAGATATCGTATGTTTTCCCTGATCCAAGCTAACTAATGGAGTACCTGAAATGTAATGTATTGGAGTGAAATAGACATTTTGAGAATCAATGACTGTTTATAGCTGTTGTCTCTTCCGTTGAGGAACAGTGTTTTTTGATTTGCTTTGTTTTGTTTCTCTTCATAATATGTTACGATCATTAAATATACTGAAAATAGATCGCTGTAAAAATTCAGAGTGGAAATGTGAGAGGAGGAGGAGGAAGAGTTGGAGTATGGGCGGGAGGGAGAGTAGGGGTAGAAAAGTGCCACTACATTCTAAAATTTCTATATATGAAATATATGAAACTTACATAACTTAAATAAAATTTAAAAAATAAGAATAAAATCATTCAAAGAAGTGAGAGATCTCTACAACAAAATTTATTAAACACTGATGAAAGAGATCATCAAGGACACAAAAAAATGGAAAAAATATTCCTTGCTCATGGATTGGAAGAATTAGCATCATTAAAAATGTGTATGCTACTTATAGCATTCTACAGACTTAATGCAGTCCCTATAAAAAAAAAAACAGTGACATTCTTTACAGCATTTGAAACAATTCCAAAATTCATATTGAATCACAAGACTCAGAATAGCCAAAGTGATCCCAAGCAAGAAAAATCAAGCTGGAGGCACCACAACAGCTGACTTCAATGCATACTGCAAAAGCTATAGGAATTACAACAGCATGGTACTTGGCAAAAACACCACCACAACCACCACAACACAGAGATCAGTGGAACAGAACAGAGAGCCCAGAAATTAATCCACATACATACAGCAAGCTGATTTTTAAAAAACAAAAGTACTCATATACCGTATACATTGGAGAAAGGATAATCTCTTCAATAAATGGTGCTGGTAAAACTGGATGTATATATGCAGAAGAATGAAATCAGATCCCTACCTCTCAGCATACACACAAATCAGCTCAAGATGAATCAGAGACTAAAATTTAAGACCTGAGACTATGGAGCAGCAGCTAAAAAAAAAAAAAATCCTACTATAAACAACAAAATGGATACAACTAGAAACCATTATACTTAGTGAAATAAGCCAGTCACAAAAAGACAAATACCACATGTACTCCCTGCTGTGTTGTAACTAATAAGAGTGCCTAAAAGGTAACCTATAGAGTAAAACTTATCTTTGAGGTCTTGTGATTTTGAGCACACCCTGTCTTGACTGTTGAGGAACTGTATTTTTTTTTTTTTTGCATACTATGTTGAACTCTTTACTTAGTGTAGGATTACTGTTATGAGTATAAAGTTAACTGAAATTAGATCTTTGTAATAAATAAAAAAATAAAAATTAGGAGGAAGAAGGGTCGAAGTGCTGGTGAGAGGGAGGGTAGGGTGGGAAGAATCACTAAGTTCCTAAATCTACATATAAGAAAAGCGTGATGTTTGTATACCTTAAATAAAAGTTTTCTAGGTAAACAAAAATACTATGAAAGGTGTCTTTATACTGATAATATACAAATTATAATTAAGTTTATAATTCTTTTTAAAATAGTGAAAACAATTATTTATTTGATAAAAAAAAAAAAAGTATGTGAAACACTTCAAGATACTGGTGTATATGATGATTTGGATAAGACACAGGCAACGAAGGTAAACCAGACAAATGGGACTAAATCAAACTCTGAAGTTATTCATCAATAGAGTCAAGAGACATCTAACAGAATGGGAAAAAGTATCCGTGTGCTACCTATTCAACAAAGGATTAATATACAAACTATATCAGCAACTCACAAAACTGAACAATGAAAAAGGCCAATCCAGTGAAGAATAGGGCAAAGGACCTCAAACCAGTTCTCAAAACAAGAAATACAAAAGACCAACAAACACATGAAAAGATGCTCAACATCACCAGGCATCAGGGAAATGCACCTCATCCTGTCAGAATGACTATTAACTGAAGACAGAGAGTAACAGATGCTGGCAGGGATGTGAAGAAAGGGGAACACTTACACGCTTTTGGTGGGAATGTAAATTAGTGCAGCCACTGCGGAAAACAGCGTGGCGACTTCTTTAAAACGTAGAAATCGTCTTACCATATGACCCAGCAATCCCACTACCCGGTATATACCTAAAAGACTTGAACACGATGTGTCAAAGAGATATCTGCACCACCTTGTTTAGAGCAGCAACATTCACCATAGTTAATATATGGAATCAACTAAAATGACCATCTTCAGATGATAAAGAAAATGTGCTATACATATACAATAGAATGTTACTCAACTTTGAAAAAGAATGACATTTTGTCATTCGCATCAAAATGGTTGCAACTGGAGAACGCCATGTTGAGTGAAATAAACTGGACACAGAAAGGCAGATACCAAATGTTCTCCCTTATATGTAGGAGCTAAAATTAAAAATAAATAAATGCCTGTGTATAATAGTATTGCTGCAAATATAGCTTTGTCAAACTTTGTTTTATATCTTTCAAAAAAAGTATTAAGAATAATATATAATTATAGCTTCAATGATGTGTGATTATTTTAAAATTTACTATATATGAGTGCAAGCTACATCTTTTCCTTTGATTTCTATTTATAGCCCTTGCCTATATTCCCCTGGAACTATGGTCTTTTTATTTTTACTTGTTGGATCCTTTACTTAATGCAGCATTAAGCTTTTGACTATAATGTAAGTTTAAAAATGTTATCTCAAAAAGAAAAAATAATATACATCTAAAAATTATACATATTTTTGATATACTATATTATGTTTTGAAAAATGCATTATAATATCCTTTCAGGGTAAACATATTTATCTCTTCAAATGATTTACTTAGGTTTGAACGTAAGTCAAGGGTATGACTAATACGATATTTATCTTTTCCTGTGAGTCAAGTATGGCTCTAACCATCATCTTTTGCACTGCCACATGCTCACCACTGAGGAGATTCAGTAACACAGTACTGCTAGATCCATCACATAATCTCATTGATTTCATCCACATCATCTATCTTCTAGATTTTGTGTCAAGTGCAATATTCAAAAAATTCAAGCTCATGATAGAGTTTCTGCTAGATAAAATAATATACTCTAGGAGTGGGTTTTGTGGCACAGCCAGTTTAGCTTCTGCTACTCCCATACTGGAGTAGCTAGGCTTTAATTCCTGTCACTGATTCAGATGCAGCTTTCTGTCCATGTGCAACCTAAGAAGGCAGAAGGTGACAGCCTAAGTATTTGTCTCTGACTCCCATGAGAGTGACATGAATAGAGTTCCTGTCTCTTATCCTTGTCCTCGCCCAACCTGAATTTTGGAGGTATTTGAGGTTGGACCATCAGATGGAAGATCTCTCTTACCTCTAATACTCTGCCGTTTTAGTGAAATAAATAAATAAATAAATAAACTTTCAACAAATGCTCTAGGCAATGGGGCTGAGGCAATCCTGCAGTGCTATAAGTGCTTGCTCAGTCCCAGGTACAGAATGATGTCATCAATAGATCATAAATTCTGCAGAAGTCTTACAAGATAACTTATTACACATCAGTCTTGATGCTGTACTGAACACTAGGCAGGACCCTGATTAGCCTCTAATGTGATTTGTTCTTAAATGTTCTATTTTCATCCCTTATCACCAACATCTAACTGCATGAGGAGTAGAGGTGCAGGAAAAACGATACCTGATTTGACTGATTCTCCACGGAGTTGACCATGAAGCGGAAACAAAAAGTGAAACATCTGGAAAGCACTTGCAGCCCCCAAACTGAGAAGCCATCAAGAGGTATGTCTGAGGGCATCCTTGGGTGCAGAGTGATCAGCAACGGACTTACACAGGAGGAAGGGAGAATTCCTAGCTGCAGAGGAGGAGAGAAAGGCAGAGAGGAAGAGGGGCTGTGAGCAGAGGAGGGTGGGAGAGAAGAGCTATGTGTATGTATGTGTGTGTGTTCCTAAGGTTCCAGGTCACTGAGAGCAGATAAAGTGTTGGATGGCGCAGATGTTTGTGTATCTTAGGGCCTGTGCTGTCTACACAAAGTCACTCCTGGTTACTCTGTTGCTGAAATTGTCATTGGTTAGACTAGACTAATTTTTAATAGAAATAAAGCATTTTATTTGATTTGATTTCTTTCTGAAATCATTGAAGTTGTTACAAGATTTCTACTAACACTCTGTCCTTCTAATGGAGAAGGATGTATGACTCCTACTGAGTAGAGGAAACACTGAAAAAGTTGGAGCACTTAAAAGATGGTTGGGCAAGGCTAAGTACAAAGTCATAGAGACTTAATTACTTTGGAATAAAAACTACTTGTTTAGTTTTGGACTGTAAATATATAAATCTGAGACCTCTGTTAGAATGCAAGAAATAAAAATGGGACACAAACATGGAACACATGGAGCAATGGTGATGGATGGGGATGGGTTAGGCACTCAGGAAAAATGGAAAAGTAGACAGGGATGGCTGCCACGCAGCTTAACACTAAAGTAATTCATAGGAGGTAGGATGGCTTCATAGAGAGGGGAGGGGGGCAAACTGCAGCCAACATCTACAATCCAAATACTGACTCATATTCCTGAACAGGATCTGAAAAGTCCAGCAGAATATGAGGCTCTGTGTGTTCTGATGGTCCCTTGTACACAAGACTGGGGAGGGAAGATGTCCCTATTTCAACGTCAATAAAATTAGTGCTTATTCAAAGACATTATTGGTTATAAACTATGAGACATGCAAAACACAGAGTGAAACATATCTACATATACAACAGATAATTTAGCCAGGAGAGACAAATATTTACATATAATCTATAGGTCTACATACTATGAGTTCTAATTATCCCTCAAAAACATATTACATCTGAAATTCACTGGTTAGAGATTAGGCCAGAGTAAACAGTAGTCCAATATGAATATATTTCTTATAGAAGCAATCAGAGCCTATGTGCAGGTTAAAACAGCAAGTCTCCTATTTGTTTTAAATTAATAGGCTGTGGCTAATGAGAACTTTGTCATCATTACAGGCAATATTAAAAGGGACCCTAGAGAGTCAACATTTCAGTCAGCTGGAAAACAAAAAAGCATGGTGGGGGACAGAGGTTTTAACGTCTATATCTGGAAGGGATACATGTCACCCTTCCGTTGACTTAACCACATGGTCAGAACTAACTCTAAGGGTGGTTGATGAATACAACACAGTTTACACACAGGTGGACAAGGGATGGCAAAGAGTGTTTGCACTGTTTACAAATGACACATGCTGCAAATCCAGTCACCCATGATGTATGCAGATTCAAATATCTACATTGCTCTCCATTTAAAAGTTTCAGTTGTAGGAAGCAGATTATGAGGATGGAGTCCATGTGTCTCACAGATCCCATAACATACCAGAGCCTTTCTTTTTCACATACCAGACTATTATGCTTGTTTAAGGATGCATAAATACATATTTACACAAATAAGAAGTATGAAACCCATCTCTTTGTTTATAATTTCTCAGGAATGCTGAATTTATATATAGATGTTCTACAGCATAAACAAAACACACAGACCCCAACTTCAGATGACAAAGGGGTTGCATCTTATTCCTCCTCCCACTGTTTCTCCTGTGTCTCATCTAAAGGCAAGACTGTTGGTGCAGGATGGAGAGATGGCAGAGGGTACAAAATCAAGCCAGGATCTAGGTATGGCACAGAGAAAAGTGAACATTTCTGTCTACCACTTGCTACAAATCTTCCTTGTCCAGGAAAAAAACAAACTCAAAACGCTTATATAAAGTCTGCTTTTTATTACTACAATGAAATTTGTGAGGGAATATAACTTAATAAAGAAAAATAGGTTTGTTTTGACTGATGTTTTTAAAGATGCAAAGTCCAAAGGCCACATCTGGTGACGACCTCTTTGTGGGCAGTGTCCCAAGGTGAAACAGAGCAGCAGTTGCCAAATGACACAAAAAGATGTATGTGTCTGTGTCTACTTCTCTTACTTCTCTCTTCTTCTAAAGCCAATCTTTTTTTTTTTTTTTAAGATTTATTCTATTTACTTTAAAGAGTTACAGACAGAGGTAAAGATGGAGAGAGAGAGAGAGGTCTTTCACCTGCTGGTTCACTTCCCAAATGGCTGCAATGTCCAGAGCTGAGACAATCCGAAGCCAGGAGTCAGGAGCTTTTCCTGGGTCTCCCGTGGATGCAGGAGCCAAGGACTTGGGCCACCTTTGCTGCTTTCCCAGGCGCATTACCAGGAGGCTCTAAAGCCCATCTATTTCATTCATGAGAGCTCCTCCCTAAAGACTTTACATAACCTTCCTCACTTCCCAAGGCTCCACTTCTGTACCTCATAGCTGGATTAAATTTCATATGCTTACTGCCTCACAATGATAGTTAAAGTTTAACCCACTCAGCTGTGACAGACACAGAACAACGTGCAAACCATTGCAATTCTCTTCCACACTTTGTAGTGTAAGTAGCAGTGGAAGTCATACGTACCAAAGGAGAAGCGCCTAAGAGCACTCAAGCGAGCCTGCAAAGATCACCACAACTGGGTTCAGCTTAAAAGAGTGAGAGGACAGTACTGTCACCAGAGACTCCCAGGAACAGTAACTCAGCATGAGGCTGCAGAGGTGATGTTGCACTGTCAGGAAGCTACGAACATACTAGCAACTGACTACAGGCCTAAAGCAGCAGAAGCCTCAAGACATGAAATAGACACCCCTGTGTAAGGGCTCACCGGAATAATTTCATAGCCAATACCCATGATATACCCGCTATGAATGTAATATCACTTAACTCAATTCAGACCTATCTCCATTCTCCAGCATCTTACTGTTCTTTCACTTTTCCCTCAGATTTCAGAAACACATCAATTTCTTTAAAAAGAAGACTCTCACTAATTGCACCATTCAAGCAAAACCATATAAGGAACAACACAAATGACACAAATCCATAATCATAGGACATGCCATCAACACACATACACATTTCAAACTATTAGACAAAATTCTCCAACTTCATTCTGATCAAAACAAGACCCATCCCATATTCACATTTCTAACCACCAAATCAACTGCACATTCAACTGCAATTTGAACAAACTTATTATGAACCTACAAACATCAAGCTCATTATACTCAGTACAAACTGCTTTACTGTGATGTGTGCATAGCTTGCAAGGCAGATATATTCATGTGCGATCTTCATAACCTTAAGAGTTAAATACTGACTGATACATAACATTTCCAGAAACACTGACATGACTAAATCGTAAGTATTTACTTTCTAAAGAAAGAAAATATATCAATATTTCATTTGAGGTTGTGCATGTCTAGATGTGAGATGCACAGGGTAAAAGCAAAAAATGTAGTGGTGGAAAATCAAGGCAAAAGTCTTAGGCAAGGCTGGTGGGCATGAGTTAGCCTCAAGGGCAGGAACCAAAGAGAAGCACAGAGAATTGAAACGTACCAGCACCCTGCTGACACAAGAACTGTTAAGATATAATATCTAGAGGGGATGGGGGCGGGGAGTGTGAGAGATCAGGGGGAGAGTACAGAGAGGAGGTAGAAAGGAAGTAGATCTTTTGGCTGAAAGCTTAGGTCCCTACATGGACATCTGCAGTTTTCTCAGGGTTGACTGCCATGCATGGAACTGGGCTCTGGAAACAAAGAACTGGAGTGAGATCGTTTAAGGATCCATGTGAATAGACTGTAGAAAAAGAAGTTTGACAAAATAACGGAGGCTGATAGTTGTGTTCCCTCATGAATTCTGACACCACCAGGAACACAGCATTAGTGGACAGCACACAGTCCAGTCCAAACAGGCAAAGCCTAGTGCAGACTCCAACAGCCAAAGATAACACAAGTGCATCTGGGCATGTGCATGTCACAGATTTTAGCAGGACGGAGACTTTACTTCCACTGAGCTTGTGGGCCATATCTGTTCTCAGAGTTCAAAACAAGAGCTTCAGAATATATGATAGATGAACAAACGAATTATACTCCAAGTGTATATCAATGACCTTTGTTCCATTTTCCAGGAATCTCAACCTTACATAAATGTACTCCAAAATATTTAGAGGAGAAGATCCTGGCCCACGAGGCAAAAGAGACATCTTCGGAATCAGAATATACCTGCCAGTCCTCTTTGCAGAAGCATTCTTGTGCTGGTAAGGGGAAGGGAGGACAGCCAAGGCCAGGTAGATCAGTGCAGGGGGAGGCTGAGCAGGCCTGTAGCCACTAAGCTGTTCAAAAACAATCCCAGAAACCTCGTGATCACAGCAAAGCAAATGAGCAGTCAGAATCAACAAGAATACGGTTAAATAAAGACACTTAAGATAAATGTATAAAAATAGGAAAGAAGAACATAGAAAAACACTAACGGAATATTCAGAACATTAAACTGCAACCAAATGACAATCAAGAACAAAGTCTAAGACATTAGTAGTATGTGACTGAATATAAACAGGCTTGGAGGATTTACATACCAAAGTAATAATCAATAATTCAGAACTGATAAAATAGATGTAATTAAGGTATCAGATGACTATAACATGGACGATGGTAATGCAAATTTGAAGCATTCTATGCTTAAGCTTTTGCTCAAACCAACTCGGAACTCAGAGGGTGAATTTAAAAAGTTGCACCCAACCATGAGAAAGAAATAATGTGAATTCAAATTTAGTATATTTATTTGTTTCCTATTAGATGCTATTATAAATTCCCACAAATTAAGGGTCTAAAATAGCATGCATTTATTCCCTTACATTCCTGTGGAGTCAGAAATTCAAAATATATAATATGTGGCTAAAACCCAGGCGTTTGTAGGGCTGTCTCCTCTGGAGACTCCAGTAGAGAAAGTTCCTTGCTTTGACTGGCTTTTTGCACTCCAATTTGCAGCCTCTCTGTTTCTCAACTGCAACATTTTGCTTCCACTGTTACCTCTCTTCTCCTGCATCTGATCTTTTTGCCTCCCTCTTCTAAGTATCCTTGCAATTACATTTAGGACCCAATACGTGATACAGGATGAGCTCCCCATCACAAAATCCTTCAAGTGTTAGCATCTTTGAAGTCTTCCTTTGTTCCCTTTGAGGGAACATTCCTAGGATGTAGGGATTAAAATAGGGACATCATGGGTGGGGAGCCTTACTCAGCCTTCCACAACCATCATAAAATATGCTGAACACCTTGACAGATGTACAGTCAGGTAAATGAATACAAAAATGTCTTAAATGGACTGCTGTCTTTATGACACCAGAAAGACCAATCACCAACACAGGCAGAGAACTGAAGTTATTAAATACTCATAGTTTTGGCCAAGACAAAGATTGTGGTTTGCATGAGTGTCTGGCAAATAGTGAATACTCAGTATTCTGTGAATAGATTGCAGGTAGGAGAGCTCTTTTATGTCACATCAACTGGTGATGCAAACCAGTTAACACAGCCTGGTGATGTTCCCTGTAAAGAAGAGAAAATGATCTTTATTTCAGGATATTTATCTTGCATCTCCAACAAGTATATGAATACTCACGGTTGGGATGTCTAAACAAGATTTGGGGGAGCATAGTGAAAATACGAGATGTTAGCCTGTGTCTGAGACACAATCCAGGGCTCTGGTCCATGACTGACAAAGAGGAGATCAAGCTGATAAATAGTCCATGCCCAGAACATAGAACAAATACACAGTGTTTGAGTGCTGGGAGACAATCTTCATATATAATCCACACATCAAAATGTTGTGATTCAAGGATAATCTATGAGAGGGTGTGAGCAGAAGTACAGGGCGTGGGAACAGGGTTAGGAAGGAGAGCACAGAGAACGAAGGAAGCGAGAGTTCCATCAGAAGTAGGTTGCCTCGGCTGATCACTGACATCATCAGTAAGGGTGTTAATTGTTAAAGGAACAATAGAAGTCACTGTGCACTTAGTCCCCACACAGGACCTCTGTCCTTTATGAGTTGTACTATGAGAATCGACTGCAAATTTTGTTCCCAAACTGTACTCTATATGTTGTGTGGGGGGGTGCAAATTGTTGAAGTCTATGCTTAGCATGGACTTGGTCCTCTATATAAAGTCAAACTAAAAATGAACCATAATGAAGAAGGAGATGGGAGAGGAAGAGGGAGGTGGGATGGGACTTGGGGTGGGTGAGTATGGGAGAAAGAACAACTGTATTCCTAAAGTTGTATGTATGAAAAAATGCATTCATTAAATAAAAAATTAAAAATAAAAAGAAGTAGGGAAGACTCACTCAGTCCGACACTAAGAGGATGCATTCTGCGGGTCTGAAGTGCAGCATGTAACAAGCCATCAGAGGTTTCTGCTTCTGTAACAGGAGGGCAAAGTCCCTGTGCCTGGTAAGTGAGGAAGAGCAGAGAGTTGAAAGCGTCCTCTAATGACTGCCACCAGCAACCTCCTTGTCTCATAAACACCCCTCTACGTGCTCTGCTTTCGAATGGACACAGAACTCAGATGATGCTATATCTCAATTTTTTTTTTTTTTGTCATTTGGTTCCCCAGAATCCCAGAAGTCTCAAGTGTATGCTCCTGAGACAAGTATAGCACGCCCAGCCTGTAGTCAGGCAGCAGGAGAGCGCTCCTCTGTTTCAGAGTATTTCTCCTGTGTCTCCTCTCCAAACAAGAACCCTGCTGCTGCTGAAGACGGTAAGGCAGGAGCAAAGGCAATGTATGAACGTGAACGCGGAGAAGAGGTTCAGCTGAGCTGCTCTGCCCAGCCTCTGCTTACTTACTTTCCCCGACAAAACAAGAAAGCACTTCAAGGCAGAGGGACTAGGACTGAGGCCTTTCGGGAGGGACACACAGGGAATGTGTCCCTAAGAACAGGACACAAGCCTAGAACTAAGGGGCCACCTGTGAGCACTCAGACGGCTGGGGATGAAGCCGTAGTCAGTGCAGACATGTGTATGGAAACTTGTTCAGAACTTTCCAGATAGGCTGGCACAAACTCATTCCCTCTCTTCCTCCCTCTCTCCCTCCCCCACCCACCCACACACACACACACACACACACTCCCTTCACTACCCGCCCATCCTCCTCATTCTCAAGTAGCATGATACAGGTACAAAGTTGCACACTCACTCCTGCACACGACCTTTGGGAACTACACCTTTACTAACCAATCCTATGAATACTTTCCATCCTTTCAAACATATTCTAACTCTGTAGTGCTAGACCAAGCTTCAGAAAACTCCTGTGAGCTGAAGTGAATTCGCTCTCACAGACAGACTCTCTCCTTCCTACATCACTGCATCCATAGTGCCTTCAGCTCTTCGGAGAGCTGCACAAGAGCTTCCTCTAACACTCCACCGGTTCTGTCTCCCAGTCTAACACAGATCATGAGTCACTGTTTTTATTCACATGCACTGGGAAACCAAACAGCACACACATGTACACACACACACACACACACACCCTACCTCCACCACCACCATCCCCAGCATTTTACCAAAGCTAGAAACACCACCATATTTGTACCACAACACATCCTTTGCTACCAGACACTCCACACTCACTCTCCATATATGAGGGATACAAAGTACACACCACACGTGACATGTACCACACACAAAACTGTGAAACATCTCCTATCAATACACTTCTGTCCTACATGCCCCACATACAGGGACAGACTCAGGGCATCTTAAATCCTACAAACTTCACAAAACTTATGCCACTTTTCTCACGTAAGAAATTTTCTTTCCTAGGAATCCAAAAACACCAACAAGAATATTGCGTTCAATCTTCTGAGATGCCCCTGCAGATTCTCACCCCATATCAGCGTAACTGTTTTCATTACCATTTAGCCAATGAGCCCTGTACACCAGAAATACATCGGAGAAAGGAAAGGGACATGAAAGTTTACTACATGCGTGTTCAAAGCAAAAAGGAGACGGCTGGCTTACGAAATGCACAGAAAGGACTGGTGCCTCTCCAAAGAAAGAAAGAAGTACAAGAAATGACTTTTCCAGGGAAAATCCCTATCGTAACTAACCTCCCCACCATGTCAGCATGGGAACTCTTAACCGACAGTGAGTGTGGCTGCGATGTGGAAGAACAAGAGAAGGTGGGGGTGGAGGAGAAGCAGGAGGAGCCTGACAGCCCAGCAGGGCTTCTAGCTCTGCAGAGACGTCCCAGGGCCAGGACGCCCGAGTGGCTGGTGACCCCCGAGAGTGGCTACAAGTGTATGGGCTGCTGCCGAGTCTTCCCCAGCCGGACCGTCCTGCAGAGGCACGTGCAGCACGGGGTTGAGGAGGGCTTTAGCTGTCGTGCTTTTCATCTTGCCTTGGCCTGGCTGAATAGCAAAAGCAACATGAAAGAGAAGACCAAGAAGAGGGGAAATAAAATCAGGAAGATCACATATGGAGGCAAAATGGGAAGAGGTACCGATACAAGGTATCCCTCACGCAAGTAAACAGATGGCTTGCACACCTAAAAAAGAGACAGCGAAGCAGCCACACTCCACTGAGGCAGTCCCATCTTCTCTGACGGCCAGAGCACCCACCTTGCTTACACACACCTGACACCTCCATGACCTACAGGGTCACTGCAAACCCTCGGATGGGACCCACTGCCCTCACCAGCACGAAGGGGAAGAAGGCAGACGGTCACAAAGGACAACCTAGTGTCCTCACAGTCTAACCAGCAACGCAGGGCAGGGTGTCGTCTCCACCGCCACAGTGGGGAGAGGGAGACTCACTGGAAGTGGAATTGCTGTGGGTGGAGTGCAGCAGAGGTGAGTGCCCGTGGCTAGGACAGCACCCCAAAGTACTGGGAGCCAGGGTTCTCGGGGGGTGGGGTCAGCAGCAGGAACCCTCACCCGAGGTGCTGCCCAGTCAAGGTCAAACACGTGACTGATGTCTCTGCCCAGAGGCTGGCTGTCCTGTGGGTCATTTCTTCAAGTTATTGGTAATTATAAATTATGACTCTATGACACCAATGTACAGGATTTTTTGTATACATATACCTCATTTCTCTACTGTGGATGCCTAAGAATTCTAATGTCTGCTCATGTTAAGTGCACATTTAATTTCTTAAAAAAAAAAAGAAAAAGAAAACCGCAGACTGATTTCTATAGGAGCCAAATCATTTTTATATTCCCCCAAATGAATGAAAAATCCAGTTTCCCTACTTCTCATTAATTTTGAAAGAAGAGGTGTTTATTCACTTTTTTAGCCATGTTAATAGCTATGCAATGTGATGTCATTTAGATTTAATGTGCATTTTCCCAGTGCCTTTCCATTGTGTTTCTCACTTGTCTATCTTTCATAAAGGATTTATTTACAGTTTTCACTCATTTTAAATTCCATTGTTTCCTTACTGCACAGAGAGCCCTTCATAAGTCCTAGATATGAATTACGTGTCAAATAGGTAATATGCAATTATTTTCCCCAACTGGTAGCATGTTTCTTCATCCTCTTCACAGAGTCTTGGGCAAAGTGAATGAAATTTTTATGAAGCCAAATATATCAGCCGTTTCCTCGTATGGATTGTGCCTTTAATGTCAAAAGTAAACACAGAGGAGAAACATGCAGAGCTACCTCGGAAATTTAGAGACTGCTGGGGCGTGTGGGAAGACAGATAAGTAAAAGAGAGAGTCCAGGAACAATGATGGACACCAGAGACCAGTGTTGGAATGTCTGGAAGCCCAAGCAGTATAGTACCCTGGATCAATCCATTCCCACCTATCTCACTTCTGTTTGTTGTCAATGCTGTACTGATTTCTGGCTTTAAGGGTTGTAATCATCTTTTGTTCAAGACATTTCCATTCACTTTTTAGTTGCTTGTATTATAGAGTTAAGTCACTCTTTGAATAGATTTTTATGGCAAACATTCCCTGAAAAACTTTTCTAACCTTTATTTTTATTCATTTGAACAGAGGGAGAGAGAAAAAATGGGACATATTACACCTCTGGGGCACTCCCTTTACACCCACAACAGGCAGCGCTAGGCCAGCCCAAGAACAAGAGTCAGAAACTCCAGCGTCCCATGTGGGTGGCAGGGAGCCAAAAATTTGAGTCATCAGCTTCTGCCTCCCAGGGTGCACACTAGCAGAAAGTTGGATAAGTGGAGGTGGGACCTAAACTTAAGTCCTCAAACACTGGGACTTGCAAGCAGCAGCTCATCCCTCTGAGCCACAGTGCTCCTCTCCCCATGCTGAAAAATTCTGGTTGCACAACTGACTATGTCTGCCGGTTGCCTTTATACCTGAAGATCAAATTGACTGCAAATAATATTCCAGAAACGCCCTTTCTTTCTTTCAACAGCTGTGGACACAATTCCATTAGTTTCAAGCAATGGATATTGCTTTAGAGAAGCCAAAGGACAACTTCATGTTTAGCTTTGTAAAATCATTTGCTGCCTCTTCTTGGGTGCCTAAAGAATTTATTTTATTCCCTGAAATAAAAATATCACTGGAGGTTATGAATTTCCATAGGTGTTCCTACCTCATTTCATTCCTGCAAACTCAAACTCTAAACTACTTTCATTTTTGACTTTAATTTTCCTCTCATGCTATGGAATTAAGGTGCTTCAAAAGTTCATGGAAAACCATATTAGGATAAATACAGATGTTATTGTACTGTATATTTTTCTACCTGAAAATGATAAAGTGGGATTTTTTAATGTTCCAAAATACAGTCATGATAAATGTTTGAGGATACAGATGTATTTATCCTGATTGGACATTACACAATGTAAACATGTAACCAAAATATCATACTGTACCTCATATATGTGAAAGCTTTTTACATGACTGCTAGCACATTTTTAAAAGGGGAAAAATGACATTTAAAAAAGATAAGCTTACTTTGTGCCCCCAATTTATGATATCTGTGAATATAAGTTCATGGAAAATGTCTATTATGAAAAGACTAGTGTATGGATTTCAAAAATTTTTGAAAACAAACATTTTTTAATTCCACACTATGTGAACATTTTGCAGTACCTTTGTTTTATTTCTTAAACAATTGTCTGCTTTATATTTTAACTTCTTCACCATGAAAGATTAATGATTACATTTGATGCATCACTTGGTATTTCTTTTTAAAATCTATTATCCTCTAATTACCAGGATCTTTGTCCCTTTCATTCACATTTGTCTTGTCATATATATTTAAACTGATCAATACATTTTAAGCTTTAATATGTTTCTCTCCTCTCCTAATTTGCTTATTTGTTCTGTTATTAACATTTATAGAAGTTATTTTAATCAAGTCTAAATTTTCAGTTTTTATTACTTAAAACTTATTTTTATATTGTTCTGTAGTTCTGATTTACTGAGTCTAGTTCCCTAAATCATACAATATGAAGAATTCTACTGCATCCCTCTTGTTATATTTAAAATGTTTATGTTTGTGTAGTTGTGTGCTTTGGCTCTATGTGGGATTTCAACTATCAGATTATTGTATTTTGTATAGTTGAAGTCTCTCTGATGTCTTGTCTGGGAGTGGTAGGCTAAAAACATGTAGCTTTCTCCCAAAAGTGTCAACCTTGTAATTTCTACAACCCATGAATATGTCTCTACATTGCCAAAAGACATTTTACAGACAGAAGTAAGACACGATTCTAAAATGGATTCTCCTAAGTGGTCTGGGTGAGGACAATGTAACCACTGTGGCTTCCTGAGAGGGAGCAGAGAGGGTGCAGTCAGAGCGAAGGTGTGGCAAGGGAAGTGGCTGCTGCAGTGAAAACCTCCAAGATAAAGGCTGTGAGCAGGTGCCAAGGTCTGCAGGAAGCTGGCAGGACCAAGAATGGACTCTTCTCTAGAGTCTGCAGACAGAATCGGCCAGCCCTGGCCGGATCTTGATCTCAGGCCTTCACACCCATATTGGACTTCTAAACTCCGAATCGACAAGATAACAAGTTTGTATCTTGGGATTTATTTTTAAGCCACAAAAACAAACCACAGTGTTAAGAAACCAGCAAGGTGAGAACAATGCTTGTGTGTCTCTGTGTACGTTTGTTTTTAAAGATCTATTTACTTGAGAGGCAGAGTTACAGATAGAGAGAGGGAGAGACAGAAAGAAAGGACTTCTCCCCAAATGTCCATAATGGGCACAGCTGGGCCCAGGAGCCAGGAGTTTCTTCCAGGTCTCCCATGCTGGTACAGGGGCCCAAGCACTTGAGCCATCCTCTATTGCTTTCCTGGGACATCAGCAGGAAAGCTGTATCAGAAGTGGAGCAGCTGGGACTGGAACCAGTGCCCATATGGGATGCTGGTGCCACAGGTCAGTGGTTAACCCATTACACCACAGTGCCAGCCCCACAATGCTTACTCTTAAATCCAGTCCTAATGTGGGTAAGTTTTGCTTTGTTACAAGATTATTTTCCTTTCTTCTTGTGTAAAAATTAGAGAATTGAGTTAATAATGCCCTCAGTCATTAACCTTTTCAAGGAACCATGTGTGATTGCTTCCTTCAATTCTATCTCCTATTTCATTCCTCATTTCCAGTTTTTCCTGATGTTCCTTCCCCACGTAAACATTTTGATGGGATTGATCTCTATTCTTAGAAATGATTTCTCTAGGTTATGCCCACTATAATTTTCTGAGGCATTCTTCTAGAGTTAGGAACCAGCTCCCTGATGGCATAGATAATGCAATGAATACTGTCCTTCTGAATTTTCCCTTGTGGACGTAGCTTACAGAGACACAATTATGAAGTGTATTTCACTTTAGAAAGGCTCTCCAATTGCTCTGCAATGTGGCTACATAGTCAATCGACATGCTAGCACATGAAGATTCCTCTTCTCATCCCTGTCCTTGCAATTATTTGGTAAAGTCTGACCATCTAATTTGTACAAATTGAATATATGCAATAAAGTATTTATTTTTATTTTCACTTTACTTCTTCTGATCGGTAACAAGGGTGAAAATTTCCTGATACATATGCTCATAAATCAGTGGTCATGGTTAGTCAGGAAATGCCCAAAGGCGAGGTCGACTATGGCTAAGGAAACTGAGGCTGCGAGGTCATGGTAATTGCTAAGGTTAAAAGCAAACCTTTTTTTTTTAATATGTCAAGCATAGGATTCTTGACATGGGCCACAGATTGTAAAGACATGGGTTATATCTTCTCTCAAACCAGTGGGAAGTGATGAAGAGGAATGAAAACAAGTCGTGAAGACACACGGGACTCTTTCTATAGCGAGGGACAGTCACTAAATGTTTGAGTTGTATGGATACTTAAAATCATACCTACATGCTAAAATACATCTCTGATTTAAAAATGTTTGTGAATATAAAAATTTAACAAATATATGCAGAGAACACTATGTATTGTTATATTTTGTATATAAAAGTTTAAGAAAAAATTTCATGTGTTTATAGAGCATTATGAGTTGTTACAGATATGCATTTTATCATGTGTAATCAGGATAAACATCTCTTAAAACAGTTTACTTATATTTTTATTTAAGTTAAATAGTACTAATATGATATAATATTTACTATTTTTCATGAGACAAGATTGTTCTAGGTCTCATTCTCTTTTGCGCTGCCATGTCCTCACCACTAGGGGGTTTGATAATATAGCAGATCCAGACACATAAAATAACTTCCTCTGTATAACTGAAGTCCTCTGTCTTCTAGTATTGGTATCAAGCACCAGTGGTAAAAATTCAAGTTAATTATGGTTTTTTTATTTGAAAAAACAAATCACTATAGGCGATGGCTATACCAATTCTGTTGTTCTGTGAGTGACTGCTGACTCCCTAGAATGAACTGATGTCATTGATAGGCTAGAGAACGCTGCTGAGGTTTAGTGAGGACCTGATGCTGTACTGAGCATTAGCGCATTGGGTAGGTGAAAAGAGCTCTCCTGTGTGATGTAGTGATCTTCAATGTTTAAATTACACTGTTTATCACCACTGACTAAATCTCTGGAACTGATGTGCAGAGAGAAAGGTACCTGATATGAACAACTTTCCAAGGAGGTGAACCATGAAGTGGAAACAAAAGACAAAACATGTGGAACACACATACTCCCTCCAACCTGCAAACAAGTCGAGAGGTATGTCCTCCAGGGGTAGCATCATCACTCACTGCCTTCTAAAAATGGAGGAAAGGATCCCTTGTTACAGAAGAAGGGAAAAAAGATAGGGGAAGGGTGCGGGGTAAAGGTGGCGGGAGACAGGAAAAGCTGTTTGTACGTGGGCCTTCTGAAGACAGAAGTTACCAAGGAATGTGTAGATGACCAGGTACTTATCTGTGTGGTTTCGAGTATGAGCTACCTGAATAAAATCACTTTGGTTTACTCTGTGGCAGACGTAGTGAGTGATTGGTTTCTCAATAATGAAACATTTCCTTTGTTTCTGAAAGCGCTGGAGAAGTAGATGATGATACATTAAGTTCTCCATGAGCACTGTTCCCTTCAGTGAAGATTAAAGGGAGGCACCTGGAGATCAGAGGAACACTGGCAGGGGCAGGAGGAGGGGACTGGACACCCAAAAAATGTCTGGGAAGCAAAAAGTACAAAAGTGTCAAGAATTTATTTACTGAGACATAAAAATGTAATGTTTTGTTTTCAATTATGGAGGTATAATTGTGGAAATCCTGTGTGAATTAAGAAATAAATCAGGGCACACACAAACACATGCAGCACCATTTAGAAATAACTGAGATGGGGTGAAGATCTGTCTGGAAAAAATGACAAACTAGACAGGAATGACTATTATGGTACTTAACAGTAAATAGGCAGAGAAGGAGGGAAGAAGGTTAGGGTCGATGGACAATTATGTTCTTAAAACCATATATATGAAATACATAAAATGTATTCCCTTTATATAAATAATTTTTTAAATAAATAAACAAACAACACATATGAGAGAGGACTGCTTCACAGGGAAGTTAAGGGGCCAGACTAGAGCCAACTACATCCAAACAGTGCCTTATATTCTTGAGTAGAATATAAAAATTCCAATCAAAATTGAAGCTCTGAATATTCTGATGGTCCCCCTTGGAGACAGGCCTGCAGAGGGAAGCTGTCCTAATTTCAACTTCAATAAAGTCAGTGCATAATCAAAGATGTTACCAAGTATAAACTATGAAACATGGGAAACACAGTCACACTCACCCACATACACAAAATAAAACAGGTGCATTAGCCAGGAAGAAATAAACCTTAACATCTAATACATGGTTCTACACACTATCTACCAGCTCAAATTATTTCCCTCTCAAAAACACATCATATCCTGACTTCACTTGTTAAAGTGATACTTGATGAATCTACTCCCTACTTAGATAAGAAGGGAAGGCGGGTCAATACAGCAAGTCTCCTCCATGCTATAATTAACACTGGGATCAATGAAAACTTTGCTACAGGCAGCATTCAAAGAGACCCCAGAGTACGGACATCCCTGTAAACTGGGAAACAAAAAAGCATGGCAGAGGCCAGGAGTTCGTATGTTTATGTCTACCACTAGGTTAATCACACAGAACAAACTATAAGGAAGGTTGATGAATATAATATAGTAGTGTGCACGTGTGGACAGGGAATTGCTAACAGACTGTGCACATCCTACAGATGACACACACTGGGCAAATCTAGTCACCCATGGCATGTACTGACTC